CAAGAAATCATAGTATGTTGTTGTTATTCCTCATAAAAACTGCCAAATATCAAGGAGCATAAACTATTCCTTTAATATTATTCTCATGATAATTTACTTTATACTTTGGATACTCAAAACCAAATAGACACTAAATAACCATATCAGAAAAAGACTCACTTGCTCAAGTTGTATGTAAGATTAATTCAATTAACAAGAAACATAGAATTTAGCAGGGAGCCGGTGCATCATACAGTTAATAATCAATGTGAAAGACTTGGCTGCGATTTACTAACTATTTTAGTCCCAGATATACTCACCACCGAAGGAAGAGGAAGAGCCGCCAAAAGCAGGAGTTGATGATGCCCCAAAGGCAGGCATGGAACTCCCAAAAGCTGGAGCTGATGAAGCACCAAAGGCAGGTGTAGAAGGCTGCCCAAAGACACCAGTAGATGTGCTGCCAAAGACCGAACCCCCTGTCTGAGAACCAAAAGGATTTGAACTTCCAAATGGTTTTGGGGCAAATGGATTATTGCCACTAGAGCTTGTTTGCCCAAACACTGACTGGGAACCAAAAGAACTACTTGAAGACTGACCGAAAGCTGCACATCCATTTAACAACACTCAGAAGAAGAAAAGAAATAATCATATATACAAAAACATAAGATAAACAGCCTCATAGTAGAAAGAATAAAAATTGTAACTGAGATAACAAAACTCAAGGACAAGCAACAAAAAATATGCTTCTCATCGGCGCAAAAAAATAAATAAATAAAAATACAAGCCAAAAACTATAAGATATAACCATAAAAGCGATATTACGCCTGCCATCAGAATGATTTTGAGAATAAGAAGGGCTGGCAAAGGCAGCGTTTTGAGTTACGGCCTAGAACATCAACTTACTAGTACATGCAAAAGCAAGTTTATAATACCTAATGAATATACCATTCAAAGAAAAAGAACGGCAAACCCAGGAAAACAAAAGAACATGAAGAAATCGAGAGCAAGATATCACGGATTTTGCACGACAAACCCGGTGAACCCCACTGCATCTTAAACACCAACAAGTTACCACCAAGTCAAACGACACCGATCCTAGAACGAGCTTCCACAACCAAATCGACGGAATGAAGTAACCTTGACAAGGTAACAGCATATGCCACTCACCAAGAGATCAAAAAATATTCACAAAGCTCGGGATTAAACAAAAAGGTGGAATCTTTAAGAACCCGATCAAAATGCTGCTACAACAATCCAAGCAAAGGAGAATATGCGAAACGAATCGATGCACCAGGGAAAATAAGCAGCTTACGATTGGTGGGGCCGAACATGGCTGCGGATCCGATCGAAGACAAATTAGAGTTCAGCAACAGAGAGATGGATGGAAGCAAGTGAACGCAGTCAGCTTATATGCTGCGGATCCTGCCTCCCGATCGAAGACCAATTAGGGTTCTGAAACAGAGCGATGTATGGAAGCAAGTGAACGCAGTCAGCTTATATAATGGTCGAAAGATTGCTTCTCCTATCAACGTAGCTTGATACCAACGCAGTTCGAAGCAAAAAAATGCACAATCAAATCCAACACCGACGTCAATCGAACGCGTGATCCGCGTCCCTCCCCCGCGTTCGACGACGCGCCGGTACCAGCCAAAATCCAACGAAAGATCAATGAGGAGGAGGACGAGGAGGAGGAGGGGAAGGGGGGGGAATCGGAGAAAGATTTATTAGGGCATTCGAAGGGTGCGATAGGGGGGTGGAGCAATGGAAGGGCAAGAATTAGGTTTCGGGCAGGCGGTTTGGAAAGGGTTTACCGAAGAAGGTGGGGAAGAGAGCGGGTGTGACGGGGACAAATCACGGGACAGGGTTTTATTTCCCATAAGCATACATGAACGTGGTCCGGCCCCACAAAAGAAGGACGCGTGGATGGCTTATGGAGGTTTACCTTTAACTACTGTGTTGGGGGAATCAAAGCGAATCTAAAGTTCTCAGGGACGGTTCGTGGGCTGTAATATCTGACCCAGCCCAACACGTTATATCACGTGAGAGAGCGGACGAGGGGAAGAATCCACGGGACAGGGATGTGTTCACAAAAGACCTTTATGGCGGTGATCGGGCCCACGGAATGGAACACGTGGATGTCTTCGGGAGGTCGACTACAGAGCTGTGGTGTTTCAGAGATCAAAGCGGCTTCGGAGTCTTGGGGAAGGACCCCATGGGCCGTAATCCCTCGATCAGCCCAACACTTGGAACCGCAGAGTGGTGAGGGAGAGGACGAGAAGAATAATTCACACGACAGGGATTGGTTCCCCACACACTGGTTAGTCCCCGCGCATTAGACACGTGGATTCATACAGGACGTCTATATTGAAGTATGGTGTTTTGAAGATGAAAGCGAATCAGGTTGGAACCGCCCATGGGCTGTGATAGCCCATACTCTTCGTTTGAATCATACACTGTTTTGGGATGTAACATGTCATTGTTCGACAAAATATGGGTGATTTTCTTGAAAAACTTTACATTTCCTTCTTTTCTTTTTTTAAAGAAAGCATCTTATGTTTTTTTTTTCATATAATATCCCTATTTGTTATAATTCTATAAATGCTATTTCTTTCCTATCTTCATCGTCTACTTATTTACTCGTCACCTTCAACTCATGCTCGAAGTCTTCATATGTCTTTCCCACTAATCACATCGATCATTTTCGTCTTTTACCTCTGAAGTATTACATCTATATTTGTTATCTTCGTATCACGAAATAGAGGATACATGTCTTTCTTTATTTTTTTTTAGAACAGAGATAATTAATGCGATGAACAACAATAAGTGAGGAAGGGACAAAGGCAATGAGCATAACGATAAGTAAGGTGTCGCATAGGTTTATGATCAAAGTAAAAACCAAAGGTGATGAGCAGGCGAGCAATGTTGGTAGAGTGGAAGCGACAAGCAAGGAAGGAAAATACTTATATATAATTATACAATATATAGGAAAAATAAAAATATCAGGTGTTTTTCGGAGAAAAAGAAAAAAATTTAAATTTTTTTTAAGAAATCACCCATAAAATAAAGCAAGGAGAAACCTTTTTATAATGGAATACAGAATATAACGATCTTTCAAGCTATCCATATATTGAGAGCAAACGTAAGAATTAACATATTTTTATTCAGTAATTAATAATATCTTTTAAATGTTAAATTATCTATTAGAACAGATCTAAATATCAAAAGATAAGATCTAAAACACAAAATTAGAACATTTTATAACATAAGCTAGTTGGACTGCATGGAGCTGTTTGGCCAATGAGTTGAGTGAGGCAATTGAGTCTCAGGTTCTAGTCCACGTCAATTTAATATTTTAGAAATATTAAAATGTTTAAACATAGAAATTCAAGTCATGCAATTGCAAACAAAGGTTTTAGAAATTCTAAACAATAATTAAATATTTTTAAATATAAATGACATGAATATCATGAAATTTATATCAAAAAATATGTGCTAGCAACCAAAAAAAAAAAGAAATCATGGATAAGTAACAAAAATTTAATACTATAAATTGTACACCATATAATCAAATTCATGAGCAGACAAAATCATAAATTAAATATTTCAAAAACAATAATTAAAATATTAAGGAGAGATGGAAAATCCACATCAATACAATATGAAGAGAGCTTGAAGTCTCTTGATGAGAGAGAGAGAGAGTGTGTGTGTATGTATGCTATACTCCCTTTAAAGAAAGGTAATAACTTTTGATAATTTGAATTATTAATTAATTAAAAAAATTTATTATTTGATTCCTAACTCTCTCCTAGGTATTGATTTCAGGTTACTCATGCAAGGAAATATATTAACTTGTAGAAAATTTCAATTTAGAAAAATAGGGAATAAAATCTGGTTATTACAGTAGTAAGTCAAAAACAGGAGATGAACACTTACAGTGGTGAATGGACATCAGCTTTACGAAGCTAATTTATGATGACAGTCTCCTTCACTCCAACAACGCGTCTCGAAGGCAAGAACGCCACTGTGAGAGGCCGAACCCATGGCTGGTCTCAGGTGTTGAATCTCCTCGCAGACATTAATATTACAGGTGTGAGATTATGTTAGAGAATCTAATAATGGAGTTCACATGCCTTTGTTTGCGTCAAACAAACAAGAAGACCAGCTTATGATGTGCTCCATACTTTGTTCGAAGGTATTGCAACCCGCCACAGATGTACTCTTTCTTATTGGGTTAAATGATTGGTGCGTTCATGTTATAGTCCATGATTTTGTCTCTGGTTAATTATACTCATTCATCTTCTATTTTAAAAATATTTTTTTTAATTACTTCTCGATTATAAAAGGGTCCATAGTCTCTGTCTCAAGTGTTGTGGACATCCAAGGTATAATGTGATGAACCTTTTTGACAATGATCTGTCATGAAGGCTAAAATTTCTATCAATTTTCATGTTCCTTGAAAGCTCATTCTTTCGAAAGCTCAAATCATCTTTACAATCGATCATTAAGTTACATCATTTAAGATATTATATAATTATGTGTGATAAGGTTGATGCCAAAATGTCTTCATCCACCATCTATGAACTGTTTCATGGCAAGCATCAGCATGTGGTGGCATCTTGTTTCATAGGAGGAAAACAAAGCCAAGGACAAGAACTTGGAAGTGAGAAGGAGATACTTCTCAACAAGAAGGCTCCATTCACCATCTATTTGGTCATGAATTCTCTTATTTTATGCAAGCAATGATCAGCATGTTCATTATGAGTCTTCATGCACAAACTTCAGTCAATTCCATTGCAAGTTTTGGTTTTCTGCAGCAATTAACTTGGTTCCATAGCTTCAGAATCTGATCAAAGTTGCTTGTACTGCAAACTGAAGATGAGGTGATTTGAGTAGTTATCATGTGATCGAACAAGAACAGTGATGTGCAGTTGTCTTTGCAGATTTGAATGCTGACTGCCAAAAAGCTAATATTTTTGTCTCTCAGGATTTATGATATCATCAGCAAAAGGAAATCTGAGGGGGACTTCAGATCGCTACAGAATTCTTTATTCTTTACATGATAGAATGACAATTGAATTGATGCGAGAAAACAGATTAACTCTGGCGAATTGTTCACAGACAACACAGCTAGCGACTGTATCATGAGTTCCTGTATACATGAGAAGAAGCGAAGTATTGGAAGAACACTTCTTCCTCCGAATCCAGAACTCAGTTTTCTTCTCTTTTGGCTTTGAATTCACTGCATCACAGGCTCCATGAGGAAGCTTTTCCCGTCGAGTTTTCGATCTTGACAAGTGTTCAAAGGCTGTAGTCATCGTTTACTGGATCTGAAAGTTCTTGCCATGCATCAGAGAAGGATGCAGCAGCTGCTGATCCTGGTGCCAGGGATCCAACTCCTCTCCTCCTTTGCCGACTCCATACGAGCACCGGATCTCCGCCGATGTAATGGCGGCGCCGTTGAGGTACTCGGACCATTTCAGATCCCCTGGCTCTTCTTCAAGATTGTGCGGCAACAGCTCTGGCCATGGCAAGATGCTGCTCTGCAACTCGACCCCGATGCTGCCGTTGACGCTGCTCGCACTGCTGTTGCTCGGGTTGCCAGCCTCCAAGAACTGCGAAGGTGTCAGCAAAGTGTCGTGTGGTAGATGGAGCATGGGCTTAAGCTGCAATGAGCTCAGTTCGGGGATCACATTGAGCAGCCTACAGTTCTGCTCGAACCAGAGAGGCCCATCCGACGCTTTCTCCTCGCCACCACAGTTGGAGCTGTAAGGGGAATGCCGGAAGGAGCCAGTGTGGCTGCCGTCGGAGATGAAGAGCTTCGACTCGCTCGATCCCGAGGCCTTGTCGGCCTGGTCGAGCGGCTTGTGGGTGCTGGGATCGACGCCGCTCTGCTGCAGCTTTTTCTTCAGGGAGGAGTTCCAGAAGTTCTTGATCTCGTTGTCCGTCCTCCCCGGCAACTGCGACGCGATCTGCGACCACCTGAAGGCAAGAGAGGTCACAGCGTATTAGCTCCTGAGGACAGGACACAGAGATCAGCAGAACCGCCACGGAGGGCCGGTACCTGTTGCCCAAGACAGCATGGAGGTCGACGATGAGGTCCTCCTCCTGCTGCGAGAAGGTGCCCCTCTTGAGATCGGGCCGCAGGTAGTTTATCCACCTCAACCTGCAGCTCTTGCCGCACCTTTGCAGACCTGCAACTGGTTGCTTCATCTTCCTGCGAGGAGCCATTAACTCTGAAGCAACAGGGAATGACTAGTTACCTGCTAACTTAGGCACGGAGCTCCAGCATCCATGGCCGAATCTGGTGATATGATTCAGCAGCTTCTCATCCTCCTCCGGAGACCACAAGCCCTTGCGCAGCTTCGGCTTGTAGCAGGAAGAGTGCCTCCCCATGTCAGCCTGAAGCCTCAATGCGGAAGCGAGTGGGAAGAGGAATGAGGCAGCGAGGGGTGTTCTTAAAGGAAGGGGAGGTCACAGTCAAACAGCTGCTTCCATGGGCAGATGAGATCTGCATGACTTCAGAGCTGGGCCAGTAAAAGTGAAAGCAGGCATTGGCCGAAGAAGAAGATGTAGTCGGAGTGGATCAAAGCAGTCTCGTCAGAGCTTTGCCTCCTGTCTTCCATCATCATATCCTGACACAGAAAACAACCACAAACCTTGACATGCTGTAGCTAAACGAGGAGTCCATGGTTGCTCATCCCTTTCATGGAAGACCCATGCAAAGAACCTCACTGTTAAAACTCACATACGTACTTACGTTTAGAGAGAGAGATTGTTCTGTCAATACATCTCTGTGATTGTCTCAATCTTCTACTGCTTGATTTGTCATACAATGGAGTCTTACAATGACTCACAAAGTTTAGGATAAATGAGTTCTGATGATAACTTTTTGTTTGTGTTAGATATGGTAAATGTTATATTCTAATGGACTACAGTATCTTCCGAATCAGCCAACTCATCTGCCACCTTAGCATCAAATTTTAATAGAAATATATCAATTAATTTTATAGGGACTCCACATCATCCTCGGGTTGTCTACATCGAGAAAAAACTTATATCGAATTTTTTTTTACATTGGACGATAACGAAAATAAGCTAAATCAAATCAGATCGGACGTATCGGGCTGATGATCGAATTTGACACTACATAGGAAACATTTTGCTTGTCTTGAGATGGATAATTTGCAGGTATCTTGTGCAGTTTTTCAAGTTCATAGATAATTTGATTTGAATGTTCAACAAATCCTAGTAAATAAAGCAAATTCTTTGGTGAGTTTGTTGATATAAATCAATATGCTTGGAAGTTCAACTAAAACAATTAATGATAAATGGAGGTCAAAGTCAATTAAAGATCAATGGGAGTGGTAGAGAGGATGGTTGATTCATCTTGTCATCAATGATTAAGATGTGTTTGGTGGCATGATTGGGTTCATGTGATGGTTGGTAACTGGGGATTAAACAAAGAATGTGGAAGATCATATTTATCCTGTTCACAGATTCTGACCATCTCTTGTATTGATTTGGGACCCCTCCATTAGAGGAGCAGCTTCTTCTTTAATCATTCAGCATTCATGTCCTTGCTGTGTCCAGCTTACCTTAGGTAGGGGGAGGGGGCCTTCATCTGTCTTTGACCATGCAAACCTTACAATAAATTTGTTGACGTACAAAATTTTCAAGCAACTGATACATGATGATCAAAATCATCTGTTGATTTATGAGGTTTTTTAATTAGCTGTCATGAGCCACACAAAATCCATACTGTATTCTAGTAAAAGTTCCTGTGCAAAGATGATGCAATGATATTTTGAGACTGGTTGTAAGGTGCCATGCATTGCTTGAATTGACGATGTGTTCTCATCTTAAACAGTTTCTCAGCAGTTGATGAATGATCACAGACATCTCATCCAATTTTCACTGCTAATGAATAGAGGCCAAACAAAACACCATTGTTTCAATGTTGCAGTTGATGATCCATCAGAGGCACAACAGATGAAAAATACAGTTCCAATGATATGCCCGAGGATTCGTGTTCTTCATCGAACAAGGAGGCACATTTGACGCAGAGTCCATGAACAGCAACAGTACATGATGCTTCTTCTACCACTCAAGTTTAGTGAATCACCAACATCAACTGTAGTATAATAGTTGTTAGTCACAGATCTTTGAAGAGAAGTACACAAGCAAATATAAAGTAATTCCTGGGCACAATAGTTCAATATAGATTTGGTTTGCTTGTTTAGTCAAGTCAAGGTTGGCTTTGCCAACAACAAAGATGAGATCAATGTTTTGACAAAAGAGAAAAATATGTGGTGGCTTTGACTAGCACTAAAATAATGTCAATCTGTGAACCCCTATAGCAGCAAATATTCCATACATTGTATCCATCATTAAGCATCAAACTAAGAGTATCTTCATTTTATACTTGCACTTGTTTGCAGCAAATATTCCATGCTAGTGATCCAATGAAGCTGACCTTGCCTTTGCCGATGTTTCCTGGTGAGTGCAAGTGTATCAAGAGAATAAGAAAACATTTCCTGGTGAGTGCAGATGAAAAATACAGTTCCAATGATATGCCCGAGGATTCGTGTTCTTCATCGAACAAGGAGGCACATTTGACGCAGAGTCCATGAACAGCAACAGTACATGATGCTTCTTCTACCACTCAAGTTTAGTGAATCACCAACATCAACTGTAGTATAATAGTTGTTAGTCACAGATCTTTGAAGAGAAGTACACAAGCAAATATAAAGTAATTCCTGGGCACAATAGTTCAATATAGATTTGGTTTGCTTGTTTAGTCAAGTCAAGGTTGGCTTTGCCAATAACAAAGATGAGATCAATGTTTTGACAAAAGAGAAAAATATGTGGTGGCTTTGACTAGCACTAAAATAATGTCAATCTGTGAACCCCTATAGCAGCAAATATTCCATACATTGTATCCATCATTAAGCATCAAACTAAGAGTATCTTCATTTTATACTTGCACTTGTTTGCAGCAAATATTCCATGCTAGTGATCCAATGAAGTTGACCTTGCCTTTGCCGATGTTTCCTGGTGAGTGCAAGTGTATCAAGAGAATAAGAAAACATTTCCTAAATAAAAAAACATTGTGAATCACAGACCTTATCACTACAGCCAGCCATGGAATATCTGTGAAACATCAATTTAATCGTGCAAGGGGTGATGATGGTGGTAGTCTATGAGGATACTAGTGAAACATCAATTTGGTTACAGCTAAGGGACAGTGAAGTAGCATATTGGCATGTCCTGCTTGGGTATCAAGGAAGACCAATGTAGCAAAGATAATGTTGTCCTACTATGATCACTACACAAGGCTGTGAGCCCCAGACCTTATCTCTTTGTCTTGAAGGGTGAATAAGCCAACATTAGAAGGTGGTCCACATTGTTTCTACAAGTAGTCCATCAATTAGTAGGGAGTACTGCCAAAAGGAGCTTTTACTCTCAATGGATGAGTCCTAAGATCATGAAATGAGGTCACCAAAGTGTTTCTCTGAAAATATGAAAGCAACTGGGATAGCAACTGATGCATGATTAAGAATACCACCTTCCAAAGACTGGAAGATTTCAGGAAAAGAAGAAGAGCAATGTGGTGTAGAATCTTTGTACCTTTTTCACTTTTCAATATAGCAGAACTAAACAATTTCTTTCTCTTCTCCCTCTTTTGGTTACTAGCAAAATTATGGTCGAAGAATTATCATCTGCATATACGACCTTTATTCTTGACACAGTTTCCCTACAAGAAATTGAGCATGTGCACGCTCATATCTGTACATCAGCAATTTAGTTTTGGGAGTGCCTTAGTCCTCAAGAGCTGTCATGTCCATCGGCATTAATAGAAAAGGAAAGATGATACCTAATTCCCCAATTTCTTGGATTTTGTCTCCTTCCGTACCAAAGCACATTGTCCTAATAATACGCAAGTGCTCAAGAATGACAGACATGCCTCAAAGTTTACTTTGGATCATTCTCATTGCAATGGCCCCATCTTTACCCCTGTCGCCCCCTTCTTCCTATCAAGCAGGAATAACATTCTTATGAGTTGGATTTTCTTACCTTTGTTTCATACTAGTAATCCACAGGCTATCCTACTGTTGGTTCTTCAAATGGCATGGAGACCGGAGTGCTGTAGGATTTCCTTCATGAATGATGGGATGTGCAAGGGTCCCAACATATGATGGCAATTGACCTTTGTAAGAAAAAAGAAGAAAACATAGGGGATTCTGCATTGAATAGTTTTACTAATTATGTATAACACTTGTTGGATTGACAGTGCCACTTTTGGCCCCCCACAAACCATCTAAGAGATCCAAGTTTCACTCAGTTTTTTAAATGAAAGTGGTGTCTGTCATAGATGCATGCATCATTCAAGTGCTACTTTCTTTAGAAAGAACAATGGCCACAATTCATCAGTTAAGATGGGGAGCAGTGTGTGATAGAAATCAAATTGAGGTATAATCCTGCAAAATGCTGGTGAATGAAGTTGCTACAGAGACAAAGAAATCAACAAAGTGACATGATGATCATCACCTTATTTCAAACTGGCCAGTGTTTTTAGGGTGTGATTCTGCTCATTTAGTAAAACTAAAAGTCCAGAATTATCCATTGACATATTATTAAGTTCTCAAACTTTTAATCTATGCATGGACCTAATCTGATTGCCACCAAATAGGTGTGGTGAAGCCTAAGCATCACTTTTTATTGCTGAATCGTCCAGTATTATTGGTGCTTGTAGGCCCTAAGATATGTCAGTGCCATCACCTGTCACCACTAAGACAACCTAGAAGTCAAATTGACAAATCACAAACCTTTATGGCAGACGTCCAAGCACTTAAAGATCCACAAAGAAAGAGCTGGTCAAACAAAAAACACAGATTAAATCATGTCTCTGAGGAACCAAATAAAATGTTGTCTCCATCATTTTAAATAGTAAGGGAATTGTCAGAGTATGGCATTTCATATATAGGACCAACCAATCATAATGAGTAGAATTGATGGCTTCAAACAGCTCAAAATAATGATCATGTGCAATGAGGCAATAAAGACTAACACATGGATGAAGACTGTTCATATGATTGAAGAGGAGTGCTCACCAACAGCTAATATAGGAATTGAAACCACAAGCTTATGTTGTCTTCACACCAGCGGCATCGAAAGCTTAAATTATTACCTGTCTTGAAGATGGTGGCATTAACCATGTAAATTAACTATACTATCAAAAACTGTGGCTACCCTTCTTGACTTGATTTAAAGACTGAAACAAACTGAAAGCAATAGATAAAGATGAATGTTTAAGTGTAATATTTACTTCAGAATTTTTTAGGCTTTTCATGTTCCTGAAACAAAGGATGACATACTTGTGTCAACCAACCTTTTAATGTCAATGAAAAGACACCCAATGTATATAGTCTGTCAAGCATCCAACATCACAAGAACAGTATTATGAACTAATGACAAGACAGATCCTTCATAACATGAGATGAATGTAAGGAATCAGCTTTCCATGCTTCAGAGGTTAACATCAATTAAAAATGCAGCAAAACACATAGGAAGCATAAAAAGTCAGAGAGCCAAACTTAATGATAGTAACATCTGATTATTGTGGTTATCATAGATGACAGAGCTAAGA